CAGTTAAAAAAATGAATTCTGGAAAATCCTATTAAATTCAATGCTGTCCTCTAGGATGCTTTTTAGTTGCTGAAGGAGGCCCCATATCCTAAATAATAAATACATCAAAATCCATTATCAAGTAAAAAATATTAAATGCCTTTCAAGCATCTCTCAACATTAAAGCAACAAGATGTTAAGGGCAGGATACTTATTTACCAAATAGTTGACAAACGACATTCAAAATTAAAGATAAAAAGTTAAAATTCTCTGTGACCCGTGTGTCTGAAAAATCACAACCAGACTCAGCTATTGCTGGATGGCTGAGGAGTGATACATCTCCGCAACAGCCCCTAGAAACTGCAACAGGCATCTGATCACTGTGGGCAATCTAGCAGTCTCTATAGAGACTACAAGCCTAAAACTGATTGCCTTGAAATCAATGTGATTGGATTTTACAATGATCAATCTGACTTGTCCCAGTGATGGTTTGAATAAGCATAAGGTGTGGAGTTAGTGTTTGAATAAGCCATCAGATAGTAGTGATTATTATTAATGATTAATTATAAGTTATTAATGTTAGTGTGTAAATGTAGAAGATGAAAAAAGATTTAGAGGGCAATTTTTTTTACATCATACTAGTAAGTGCTATGGGCTTACTTCAAATCATGTAGGCTAAAATAATACACTGGGGAGGGACTAGAATAAGTTATAGATGTTTATATCTTATGTAAGTTATCTGATCTCACCTTTAAATGTTATTAGGATTTGAACTGGTAGAGTGCTGACAAAGAATGTCTTAGCATTGAAGGGGCTAATAGTGCTCATTTGAACACTGCAGCTTTAAGGCCCAATTCAACTACCATCCCTGCAACTAAGAATCTTCCTTTCAGCTCTACCCACCGCGGTTTCTTCAAACTATATAGCATTACTCCTCCAGCTGTTTCGATCCACAGTCAATCACCTCCTCATTCCCTTCACACGTTAGCATGTTAGTAATCGCTGCAGTCACACTATAAATTCTCCCTGCCATCAACTGCAAATTACTCTGCTACCTCCTGTCTCATTTCCCTATTTTACCTTTCGATTGTAAGCTCACGGACAGGGCCATCTAGTTTTTGTATCGGTCTGTTTATATTGTATTGTTTTCCCAATTGTACAGAGCTGCAGAATATGTTGGTGCTCTATAAATGCCATAAATACATGCATAAATAAATAAATAAATAGATAGACAATACACAGAGGAAATGGAACAAAAATATGGTAAAGCAAAATCAGTACTACAAAGCAAACAAATAATAATAATAATAATAAAAGAACAAAAACACAGTATAACCAAGTCAAATAAAGCAGAACAGAATTAACTATGAGTACTTTGGATACAAGGACAAACTAAAAAACCTTGTATGCAATGATAGGGCTCTACGGTCATCAGGATATAAGAATAGGCCCCTTCATATAAAGGATACAAAGACAGGATACGCAGAATACAGAATTTGGACTATAATTTCTAAGGAAACAAGTCTGATTCACACACCAGCTGGTTTGTCGTCTTACAGGGGATCTGCCATGTCACAGGATTTGTAATATTGTGTTTTCTTTTCCCTACATTTAAAGGACCATTATAGTGCCAGGAAAACAAACTCGTTTTCCTGTCACTATAGTGCCCTGAGGGTGCCCCCACCCTCATGCCGGGCTGAAGTTGTAGGAAGGGGTTAAATACTTACATTTCTCCAGCATCTGGCTCCCTCGGCACTGGGGACTCTCCTCCTCCTTCGGTCATCATCGGCTGAATCATCTTCAATGCTTTCCTATGGACGCTGGCGTCTTCTCACTGTGAAAATCACAATGAGAAGCGCGGAAGCGCCTCTAGCGGCTGTCAATGAGACAGCCACTAGAGGCTGGATTAACCCTAATGTAAACATAGCAGTTTCTCTAAAACTGCTATGTTTACAGCAGGCAGGGTTAACCCTAGAGGGACCTGGCACCCAGACCACTTCATTTAGCTGAAGTGGTCTGGGTGCCTATAGTGGTCCTTTAACAAATGTGTATTTGAGAGGTTTGTAGAAACAAACTGAATGTAGAAGCTATTTAGCAAATGACTCTGCAATCCAGTTGAGACAAGGCAAAGCCAGGACAAATGAAGAGGAAAAATAGAAACATTGTTTAATTTCTCCCCTTTTTTTGTATGCTTTCTCAATGCTGACTGTCAGGTGCGAATGCCAGAGTTTATAACAATGACTAACAACAGTGGCGTACACATGACCCATGGGGCCCCGGTGCGAAAATTGATCCGTGGGCCCCCCCCGCGGGCCGCAACACATGGCGGTGGGCACCTGGTCGCAGGGGTTACAGGGCTGCGACCCCTGCGACCGCGGTATGTACGCCAGTGCATGCAGATGCACACACACTTAAAGG